AAAAGAAGATGTTAAGGGAATGTGTAATGTCAGGATCACAGGGTCTTTATATGTTATTTATTTATTGATCGGTTTTAAAAAGTTTATAGAACTGCTAACTCAACTGACTTACAGTATAAGCTTACAATATAAACAACCAACAAAAACCTCAATAAGGTGGTCAAAACGACAATAAATATAGCAGCAATCAAAAGACCCTTTGGCCCCTGTCTTCTCTCTTCTGCCTCCCTCCTGTGCTCCCTAGGTACAAGGCTTCGCGATATCCCAACCACTTAGAAAAGCTCACCATTCTCAACATCTCCCCTTTGGAGGTCGAAGTACATTTCTTCTTCCAGCATGACTCCAGGGCAGTCACCTACCTATTGGATCCGCCCATGCTGATGCTGAAGCCAAACCAGAAGCAAGTAAGGGCAGCAGGCACTGCTTTCCCTGAGGGCCTTTGCCCTAGAGGAGATACCACTTATGGCCCTTTCCTGTCCTTCCAGGTGTTGACAGTCTGGGCTTATCCAACAGCGGCTGGGGTCTTTGAAGACTGCATCGTCTGTTGTGTGAAGGAGAACCCAGAGCCGGTCATCTTCCGGATCTGCTGCCAGGGGGTTCGCCCAGAAGTGGAGCTGGACCGCCGACAGCTGCATTTTGAGAAGTTGCTGCTGCACAGGTTAGGCTTTAGGAGATCAGCCTATTTCAGCCATCTGTTTGTTGATGGCCACTCATTGTGTGCCTCTTCCCTTCACCTGGATTGTCATGGAACTTGGGGGGGAGGGGGTATTTTAGGAGATTTTTTTACTAGTCTTCTTGCCTTAGCTATCATAATGCTGCTAAAGTCTAAATCTTATTTGATTGGGATTAGGTTGCGGGATCAATGAATGTGGCCATCTGGTTTTCAACAGCAAATAACCATCCTACTTTGTAGCTTTGTACTCTGATTTCATAAAACCTTGATTAATAGGTCATATTACTTGCTGTTTATATGCACACTGTGAGCTTTTGCAACTGGAGACAAATTTCTTGTGTGGCCAATCACACTTGGCCAATAAAGAATTCTATTCTATTCTATTCTATTCTATTCTATTCNTTTCCCCAAATCTCTTTAATCCACAGAATCAAGTGTTCAGTTTCAAGGATATTTCTTGTTAATTATAGTTCATCTTGTCTTAAAAATCTTCATTAAATACTTCCAAGCAGCCAAAATGCCAGTAGATATGGAACCAAAATAAAGAGGCTTTCCAGGTGTTGTTTGCCTTTTACTATTTCCTTTCTCCTCCTCCTTATTTTTCTTCTGTTATCAATCAATCCTCACTTGCCAAGGTCTTTTCCCACCATGTACTAGTATAATATCTTCTTTCACCAGTAGGTGGCACCCCTGCTCTAAGTTACAGCATTAAACAAAGCAAAAATAGAACAGCTGATTGTTAAAAAGGAGGAGAAGGAGGAAGAGGAGGAGGAGGAGGAGAAGGAGGACAGACAGTGTTATCCGCAAATTAAATCACTTTTCACACTACTACAAATTCCAGTCCGGGCTTCCTTTATTTTAAAGCTTCATAGTCTTCCGTTAAAAGTTTGTTTCACTTTGGGGTCTATAATCTTTCTCCGTGTGTTAAATCACTGCTTTCTTAGTGTTTTGGAAACCCTTTTTAAAAAGAACTCTTTTATTTGGATTTAAATCTCTAATATAGAAGTTGAAAATTGCCTCACCAGTTCCAATCCTCTGTCCACAAACCACTCCAGTTCATCATTTTCTTGTCCCAGTTGTCACAGCTTCAGTCTTGCCAAAGTGGCTGTCATCTCTGCTGCCAATCAGGAGGGTTTCTTTGGCTCAAGCGAGGAAATTGCTGTTTCCTCCCCATCTACACAGCATCCCTTCTTTCTTCACCATCCCTCCGGGGAGATCCTGTAGGGTCTCCTGGCAAGCAGGTATCGGCTGGGTTTTGCGGGGTTCCACAGAGCTCCACTATCCCGTATCCGTCCTTCTGCGATGCCAACTCATGAATCCCCCCTTCCCCGATGGACAGCCTTGATTAAGCAAAGTTCATACTTTATTTGGGGAAAATGGGCTTGGGGCAGGATTCTCTCATCCAGTTTTCTCCATGCTGCTCCAGAACCTCAAACCCCTGGATGTGTCCAAGGGAAATGGGGCCAGGGACATATGATCCAGAAGGTGCAGCTCCAGTGGAGAGGACCACAGGAAGGTGATTCCCCAGCATTGACCCCACATTTGGAGTGCTTCTCTGTGAATCAAGGAAAGACTTTGCCCTGTGTAACTTTCCCCTGTTCTCACTGGCCCTTGGGAAACATTTGCCACTGCTGAATCTCCAGGGCTCCTTTGCAGACTTGTTTGTTTGCATCTCCCTCTCTTGCTGGAGAACAGCTGGTATCAGCCAGCAGTTGTTTAAGAGAAAGCAATCCCTGTCTTTTCCACAGGCTCGGTTCTCTTCTGGTATGTTCACTGTGTCTCCGGGGTTTGGAAACATTGCCGCAGGAGGCCATCAGGTGATCACGGTGGATTGCTTTGCTGAGCCTGCTGGGAAGTGTGAAGAATACCTGATCATTGAGATCACAGAACGAGACCCTGAAGACAGTCCTGGAGGCATCATCTACACTCTTGTTGCAGAGTCCTGCATCCCAGGTAGTCAGACCTTCTCCCTTTCTCCTGGCTTACACTGCCTGAGGACACAGACCATGGTTTACACACCAGAACCAGGAAATCGGGTTTCATTTTTCCTGAGAAGCAAGCTTATTAAACATGTAATTGTCCCTTAGATAAAGGCCTGGTTTAGAAAGCAGCAAAAGAAAGGTTAGAATGCATTTCTGGGAGATTAGCAACATACAAAGACTTCTGAAAAGATTTGTGATGAAGGCATTAGCACCTTGGCATGGAGGAAGGCTATTTCAGGTCTGTGGGGAGGCTTGGCCTCCAGAGGAAGAGGGCAGGCATGAATATTAGTATAGTTTTGGGCAGATGGAGATGCAGCAGGAGCCGTGGGTGGACTGTAGTCAGAGAACACAGTCTTGGTTTCTTATGCCCATTCCCCAGTGCCTCGTCGTTGGACCTTCTGAAGCCCAGGTTTTTGACAGCTGCTGCTATTGAAGGCCAGACACCTTGCAATGAAGTTTCCCTCACCTCACAGCAAATCAAATCATTTAGATTCACTCTAAGATGGATGTCATCTGGATGCCAGCCAGCACTTTTAGGCCGATGGAGGTCTGGTCTGGCTTTTTAACTTGAAATGAGTTTGAAGCTATTATCCCCCAAGGAAATGGATGGGGTTCTCTAGGCTGGGAACTCACCCTCCTGTTTAATGAAATAAATGTCCTTGCTGGCTAGCCAAGGCCGCCTGGGAAGTAAGGTGTGGAGGGGCCCAGGGTGGTAGGGAATCCGTCATAGAAATAGAAATAGGACTTTGGAGGTCTTCTAGTCCAGGGGTGTCAAACTCACCAAAGAGAGAAGCAACCTGGAATTAAGGAGAAACTTCCTAACAGAGGATAATTAACCAGTGGAATAGCTTGCTTCCAGAAGTTGTGGGCACTCCATCACTGGAGGTTTTTAAGAAGAAACTAGACAGTCACTTATCTGAAATTGCATAGGTTCTCCTGCTTGAGAAGAAGGATGGGCTAGAAAACCTCCAAGGTCTCTTCCAGCTCCTATTCTATTCTACATTTCTATTCTACTCTATTCTTAATGTATTATGCCCTCATCTGGGGAATTTCTTACCATGCTGACTGTGGCTTTCTATAACCTCCTTTTCTTTCTGGACTAGAAGACCTCCAGATTCTGTTCTGTTCTATTCTATTCTCAGGGAGGAGGAAGAGGGGAGGAGAAGAAGGACAATGCAACTTTTGTCTCAATTGTCCCATCTCAGCAGAAACCCTTCAGGTCTGTGGAGAATCTCTCTCTAGCACCCCTGAAGGTAGTGCAAAATTCAACCTTGCAGTTCTCAGATTGAAGGCAGGCAGCTGAAAGTAGAAGAAGGGGTTGGGGAATGCTGATTAATTGCCAGGATACTTGCTGAAATTGCCTCCTGCAGTTCCTGTGGTCTTGTGCATGTGATGAGTCCCTGAGAGTTGCTGTCATGTTGGTTTCCCAAGGATTTGTGACTGACAATCCAGGGATCATTTTTGAGGAGCATCGGATCTGTAACAGTGGCAACCTCTGCCAGGTGTTGAAGTCCATAGGTTGCGAAGGAGTTTTTGTGACAGACGAGAACAAGTTTCTCTTTAACAATGTCCTGATTGGGCACCAGGCAACAGCCCGCTTCAAGATCTGCAACCCAGGCCGGATCCCCTGTGATGTTGTCATGACCACAAAGCCCATTTCTGCCAAGGTAAGAGAAGGACAACGAGTGTTTGCATTACATGTTTTTTAATATTATCCCATTCCATTTCATGGGAGGCTGGGAAGAACATTAATCGTGTAGCAATTTGGCAAGTGCTTGCACCCTCCTGTCTTGCAAATGTGTAGTTGCTCTGGAAGCCATTGATTTAGAGAGGCCGATCCCACATGGCTGTTCCTGACTTTTCTTTTAATAGACAGAAAGATGAGGTTGTCCATTCCCATTACAGGCAGGGTTGAATCATGAAATAGCAATAGCACTAGCACTTAGACTTCTATACCGCTGCACAGTGTTTTCCAGCCCTCTCTAAGCAGTTTACAAAGCCAGCCTCTTGCCCCCAATAATCTGAGTCCTTATTTTACCCATCTTGGAAGGATGGAAGGCTGAGCTAACCTTGAGCCAGTGAGGATCAAGCTGCTGAACTGTTGGCAGCTGGCAGTAATCAGAATTAACTGCAGTACTGCATTCTAACCAATGCGCCTCCATGGCTCTTAGAAATATACTGCAGCCAAACTCCATAGCTTGTAAATGGATGGATTGGTGGGTGGTGGGTGGGGTACTCAGAGCTTTCTCTGGGGTGATTCCTGAAGTTCTTCTTGCTCTATGGATGTTTCCTCAGTCCACTGTCCGAATCAGCGACACCTTTGAGCTCTATCCTGTGCGCATGTCCATCGCCAGTCATTCACATGCCTTTGCAACCCTGACCTTCTCACCACAGGCCATGCAAAACTACCAGTGCATTTTTGAGACTTCAGTAGATGCAATGCCAAGGTAATTCCCAATTGGCTGCTGAAGGGGGCATGTTTCGTAATCTGCACATAAGAACAATGCTTTCTCTTGTCTTTCAGTGTGGTTGCCAAATCAAGAGCTCTGTCCTTTGAAGTCAGTGGAGATGGCAGCCTTCCTCAGATCACCATTGTGCGCCCTGTTCTTCGTAATAAAAAGGGGAACCCGCTCCTCCTCTTCAAAAAGCTCCTCTTAGGTCACATGGAAGCACTCCCCCTTGTCCTTAAGAACAGCGGCAGCCTTTTAGTCCAGGTAGCAGCCAACGCTCAGAAGAGCAATCACAGACTGGCAAGGGGGTCTTGAGGGGGGAATGCTTAGCGCAAAAAAGTGCTCTCTCTGCCATCTTTTCTTGCTGGGCTATTAGAGCTGCTCACTTGCCTCCACCTCTTGAGAGCTGCCCTATTTCCTGGGATCAGAAAACAAGGGCAGCTGAGATTGGGGGGTAGGGGTGGAGTAGAAGGACAAGGGAAAACAGGCTGGGAAAATCCAGTGTTCCTGAGGTAGCCTACATGCTGCCAATTAAAATCGGAGCTGTGGAAAGCTTTCTGAGACTCAAGACTCTGCCCTAAAAATTTTGTCAGAGATTTCCTTACCAGGTTCCTCAAGGCCTCCAACAGTGGCAGTCTAATGCCCTGGAAAAAGTCCTAAAATTCACAGATACTTTTTCTTTACTTTACTTACTTTACTTTATTGTCATTGTATACACAGTTTACACATACAACGAAATTCACATAACACCCAGAGACCAGGCCCANTAGTGAGTGGTGCCCAGAATACACCTGCCCACAACACAATGGCAGACAACCCCCATCAGGAGGCAATGCAGCCAGGGCCCTCTAGCAGCAGGAGCCTTACCAGGCAGGCTAGCAAAGCAGCTTCAAAGGCCATCAGCAGAGCGAGCCAGGCAGGAGGGGGAGAAAAGATCAAAGTCCCAAGATCCAGTTGCCTCCTGGAGCCAAAGACCACCAGAGAAACACCCTGAACAAGCCCAGCAACAACCGGTGGCTTCCTGCAGAGGAATTACCAGAGGCCCCAGCTCCTACTAATCAGGATCCACCACGGTCGGATAGTGAGGATGAGGGCCAGGAATTTTCATCAGATGACTACTCTGAGTCAGCCAACTCCCCTGGACGAGAATGCTGATTTGTTTCAGTGCTCCTTGGAAGCAGAGGATTCTCCTCCAGTTCTATCACTGGCTCCACAACATCCTCTGCCCCACTGGGCCACTAAGTGTAGGTGGCCTGCAGAAGACCAAGGGCCTGCTCTCCCCTCGGAAATGCAAGAGGTTATCACCAAAGCCATATCCCAGGGTATTGCAGAGGGTCTCAAGCAATGTGCCAAGTGACGTTGCAGGGCCAGGTCTTCTTCCTCTAAGGCCGTTCCTTCAGAGGCTCCCCAGGGATCCACCTCTCCCTATTCCTCGCTGGACAGTAAGGATTCAGCTATAGATGAGGAAATCCTTCCAGAGCAGGAGTTCTCAGGAGTCGAGGGAGCGGTCACGAATAAACTAGCCTTCACTGATTTGTTTAAACATGTTTCAATCAAGACAATCTTGAATAAGGCCAAAACAGCCACCCGTATGGGAGCCACTGATCAGGCGACAGTAGACCCGTCAGACCCTAGCGAAGGACTCTTTGAGGAACCGGTAGTTCCCCAGGAGATTGTGCCAGTTCCTACATTATTTTTTAATGTTGTGCAGCGTCAATGGGTTTAACCAGGCACTCTAGCCACACCTGATAGCAGCGCTAAAAAGCTATACGGTGGATACCTCCCTGGAGGATTTATTAAAATTGCCTCCGATGGATCCTCTGGTACAAGCCCTTACATCCTCCTCAGTCTTACCTCCTGACCTATTAGAGGGCTTGAAAGCAGAGAATAAGAGATCTGAAAGGGCTTGTCACAAGATCCATCAGGCGGCTGCCTGGACCATCAAGACAGCCACTTCAGCATCCTTTATGTCCAGGGCCTCTCTCCTCTGGGTCAGACAGATTTCTGCTAAGCTTCCAGCAGGGCACCAAATTGAGGCAGGAGTTTAATAACGTTTTAGCGGCAGCAGAATACACTGCGGATGCCACCTTCAACTCTGCCAAGTTCGCTTCCAGGGTTCTGGCTTCTAATGTCACCACCAGGCGGCTCTTGTGACTTTGTCACTGGAATGCAGACATGAGGTCCAAGTGGAAGTTGGCCTCTGCTCCCTTTAAGGGAGGGAAACTTTTGGGGGAAGCCCTAGAGCCTGTCCTAGTCGAAACAAGGACAAAAAAGAAGTTATACCATCTGTCACTAAGACAGCGGTTCTCAACCTGTGGTTCACGACCCCTTTTGGGATCGAATGACTGTTTCATAGGGGTCGCTGAGACCAGCGCAACTCTAAAGTTTAGACCCCACCTTGAAATCCCCGCGGATGGGCTCCTGAATGGCCGTGCTGCGCGTTGCTGTGGTTCCACACCATAAAAAACATAGGTGTGGGGGGAGGAGCCAACGCCTCGTCAATACAACATGCGGTCTCTGTTGTGGCTCAGCAGGATCCACTGGAGCTGCTGAGAGACTCAGATAGCGATGAGCCTTATGAGTCGGCTATGGAAGAGATGGAGGACCCTGGGCAGACTTCAGACTCAGAGCAGGGACCAGAGAGGCTGGTTGGCCACCAGGAGGTGCCTGAGGCATGGAGCAGTGGAGAAGAATTAAGGGAGTTTGTCTCTGATGCAAGATTAAGACGGGCACAGAAGCGACGGCAACAGCTGAGTCAGAGACAAGATCCTCAGAGATAATTAAGCCAGGTGGTTGTGGCTTGGCTCCTCCCAGGAGCTTATTTAAGGAGAGCTTTTGGAGAGGATACTTCTTGCAGGACACAACCATTTAAAGTAATCTGGTCTGAACTGTTTGTGAAACAACGCTGCAGAAGCTGTTATCTGCATCCGTAATATGAATGAAGTATAAGTAATGATTGTGGAAGAAATGCCTCTCGATAGCACCGTGGGCAAGACTGCACTCACGACAGTTGCAATGGTGCCTTCTACCCTACCAAAGGGCCAAGAAGGGCAACTCCCCATCTCCGATCCCGATTCCCTTCAAGGTCCAACAGTCCCTGCAGTGGTGGGAATCTCCAGTGCTGACCAAGGGCAGTCTTTTCTGTGAACCACATCGCCTAACCATCACTACGGACGCCAGCCTATTCAGATGTGGGGGGGCACATCTGGACATTCAGGTCACCCAGGGCAGGTGGTCCAAAGGTGATCTCAAACGCAGCATAAATTGGCTGGAATTAAAAAC